CCGAAGTCCTACGTCCCACGCTCTGAACCCCCCAAATTCCTGAGCCCCCACTCAGGCGAGCAAAGCGCTCGTCAGCGAGCCCGTGGAGGCCAAGCCCTTCTGCAGAGTCCGCACAGACACGTGTGCATATATATATATATATGTATACATATGTATAAATATAAATATATATATATATATTGTATAGAGAGAGAGAGAGAGATTGGATATACATGTACATTTATATATATATATATATGTATGAATATAAAAATGAAAATATACGCGTGTGTGTGTGTGTGTGTGTGTATATTTAAAGTCGGCTCTGGGGTGGACGAGGTTCGTGGGAATGTCGAGAGCGTAAGTCCCTTGCTCATGCGGCTGCTGCGTTCCGGGAGAGGGGAGGAGGAGAAAGGGGAACCGTCGCTTTGGATTGCAGTTTCTCGATCGTCGCATGAGGCCAGAAGAGCATATTTGGAAAGCAAGCGCGAAACTGAGCTGAGCTGCATCTGCTGAGCTGAGGAGCTACCAGCGTCTGTGCCAAGGCAGCTAGTTATCTCGCATGTCCTCCAAGCCCAGCCTACTGTTAAACACCCTTGTCGTACTTTTGCACGCCTGTTCAGAGTTCATTTCTCGATGCTTTTTCTGCAAGGCATGGAGACACTCTGCAGATGGGCATGAATACAGTTTGTCTCTAGATGACAGCAGTTGATCATCTGAAACCACCACTGCGAAGACTCAGGTTTGGCGTCCGCACGACGGCCTCGAATGCTGAGGTCACAGTGTCAAGGGCACAACTCATGCGGAAAACATGTTGTCCAACTACTTCATGCAAGTATGGGGAGAAGTATTTGTTCAACCACGCTGTTCAGTCGGGTAATGTAGGGTATGTGTGCCTATGTCAGGCAGCGCTGGGCTGCGGTAAAGGTGTGGTTTGCTGTTGGCTCATGCTGCTTTTTTTTGGCACCCCCAGAACTCCTTTAAACAAAGCGGAGTCAACGGAGTGATAGCCCGAGTGAGCAGGTCGTGAGCTCGATGGGTGCCGGCGGCGTTGTAGTTCTGGCGGTGAAGCCCCAGGCGATCGGTGAGAATGTATCAGAATGCAAGACACGTCCCAACCATGTCCCAACCTAGAGCAGATTTAAACTACTGCAGCCCGATTTCGCCCGCTTAGAGTCCTGTACAATGCTGTACACGACCGACGGCTTTGGGTGAGTTGAGAAGCTGAAGAGTTCGATCGCCGCTTCTCTGGGTTGTTTAGGGCTTGCGCAACAGGCTTGCTAATTGCATGTGTTCGCATGGTTCCACTGCGCCAGACACAGCAGCTTTCTGGACCCTGAACCCTGCGCCCTGACGTGGATGCCAGGTTGCCGCCGCAGCCCTAAGCTCTTCAGCCGCAGTTGTCGTTTGAGGGGCTTCAGGGCTTCAGGGCTAAGGGTTTAGGGGGTTTAAGGGCTTCGGGGATTGGGGGTTACGGGGTTTTGGTTTGACGTTTTTGTTTGCGTCGTTGGCGGCCCTGTGGCGCGGTTCCGTTCCCTTCTCTTGTGGGGGGGATAGGAATCGAAAAACTCAAACAAGGATTGCAAGTCAAGTAGCGATCTAAAACAAATCAAAACTGATCAAAGATCAAACATGCTCCAAAAAAACAGGACACAGGGGAAGTGGCAGAAGGAAGGATGGAAGGGAAGGGAGGATTTGAAGCTTGTGAGTAGGCAGATTTTTTGTTTTTTGCTTTGCTTGCACTTGCTGAATAGGCGGAAGGAAATGCTGTAAGTTGCCGTATTTGGGCTCGTGAATAGGCAGAAATGCTGGTATTTGCCGCCTGTGAAGAAGTAGAAAAGCTTCAACAATTTTACAGTAGTTTGGAGCTTGCAACTCAGCAGAAGCGCAAATTTTTCATGGTATTTGGAGCCTTCGCACGGGCAGAAATGCTGTTTTCTTGGGAGATGCATAGCAGGAGACAAACATCGCAAAGAACTTGAACGACACCGAGCTCAAATGAACTGCGGGATGAGAGGACATGGATGGACGTGGTCAAGATGATGCCAAGGTGATGCGACCGTGAGCTACGCAGCAGACTTTCGGATCCCGAGCCAGAACCGGCATTGTCTTTCCGACTTTGCTCACAAGTCAATTGTACGTAAACATAAGACATTAACTTTTTGTGGGGGACTACGGGTTTTATTTAAAAATAGTGCTTTTGGGGAAAATGATGAGTGCATTTAAGCCTGCAAAAAGTTGGCTGGTGGTTAGAAATTTTGCGCTGCGTAGGGTTCAAATAAAATCAAAGAAGTTACATGTTGGGGGGGACAGTCTCGCAGAGTCATGCAGCATTGTGCAAGATAGCGGCTTAACCTTAGTATCCTTAATCCCTTCGCCAAGCTGGCTTTCTCTGTCATTGCTCTTTCCTTGTTTTTTAAAGTTTGATCATCTGATCTCTGGCTCTCAAGCTTGTGCCTGATGCCGTTCCGGGGCAGGTTGTGGGGACCGAGCTGAGAGCGCCATTTGCGACACCGCGAAATGCAAGCACGCCTAGGCACGCTTCGAAGCACAAGTCTCAGAGAGCTCAGGGGACCTGTGGCCGGGAGCACGATTTGGACCACGGAAAGGTGCAAGAACCTGGGCCATAGCACGATATGGCACCTGCCGCGATGCGAAAACCATGGTATGTTAGAAGCCGTCCGAGAAATTCGGCGAGGGCAAAAACCGAGAGGGTCGTAAGCAGAGCGTCCGGGCTCACAAGAAACAGGACGCCATGTCAGTGTCAGGGACCTTGTTACCGTTTTGCTGGTCTCATTCCGTGCTGTGCCGACGGTTTTCTGATTTACTCGTCGCAAATACACAAGATTTTGCATGCACCGGAAGCTTATTCAGTTCAGGTGTTCTTGCTTGACATGGGACCAATATCATTCCTACTGACAACGATTTTGGACCGAATGGGTTTTGGAAGGCTAGACCCTTCATTTCGTCGATGTTGCGGAGGCAAGGTTGCTTTCAGGAGCTTTCGGAAACACTTGTGTCTTTTGCGTTCGTGTCTCTTTTGGCATAATGCATCTTCAGCTTCCTATCGAAGACAGGAGACCTTAAGATGTAAAAGCTCCCTTCGCGTGCCGGTGGCTGAACCCCACTGAGAACTCATATCAAAGGTGGCCTGAACCTGGGCAGCGAGTCGCCGCTCTTTGTTTCGATCATGGCAGGGGCCACCTGCCGGGAATCAACAGCAGCGAACCGCGGTAAAGAGGGGTTTGGGTTTCAGGTCTTTCAAGCTCTAGAAAGTCTGGGGTGATGGCGTCTTGGCTTGCTGGGCGGGGGAGGGGATCTGGGCAGCTCAAGATGACATGGCTAAGCTTTGTTCCAGAGCATCCAGCACCAGCAGCATTCCGGGTCCTATAAGCATCCTTATACTTACGAATCCAAACCCGAAAGTACCCCTAAACCCTGAACTGACCCTGAAAGCCCTAAACGCCTTTTTGGATTTAGGGTCCGTCCGTTTTGGTGACCTGCAGTGCGGGTTTGGCGATGAGGGCTTAGGGGTGTTTGCTATTTAGAGGTCCTTAGCAAGCAGGTCCCGTAAAGGGTGCTACAATGGCGTAGAAGGTGCCGAATTCCATAATTCCCTATGCAGAAAGATGTCTAAGAAGCCAGGTGACCCTCCAGAAACTGTCAGACATGGGGCTTAAACGAGTCGCCTGCACCTCGAAGCCAGGGTGGTTTAGGGCATTCGGGTGTTTGTGACTTCCTGGCTTTGGGCTTGAGTCCTCAACCCCAACGGGGAGTTTGAAAGCATTCGGGCTTAAGCGGCTTGATGCTGCTTGGTGCTTCATGGTATGGGGAGCCGTAAGAGCACAAATCAGTCACAAGTCTGGTTCTCCCAGGTTGCGCGATGGCTGCGATAGGTCCCCAAACGCGGAGACCTACCCCCCCAAATGTTTCTGCGCTGTCTGCAGGTCTTGACTTTGCTCCCTGCGGTTCCCGCAGGTCTAGGTTATCCATGATCTCCCATTTTCCGTGCACAAACAACAAAAGCCAACCCCTAAACCCTACAGACTCTCCAGCGGCCGGCCACCACTCTCGAAGTCTCTCGATCTACAGTACCTTGCCTTTGAACCCTACATCTTGAAACCCCTACAGGCCCCCACACATAAGCCTCCCGACGTTTTGTGAGCGACTTTCCGTGCTCAGGCCCGAACCATGCCCAACACCCCAGCGCTCGTCGGCCTGGGCGCATCAGCCTATGTGCCTTGGCGCCAGGTTTACAGCAATCTGCCCAGTGCCCAGGGGATTGACCATGTCACTTCAAAGTATCGTGGCACGTGGCTAGAGCGTCGCGGGACGACCGTAAGCAAACTACTCCACCTGCAGAAGAGCGCATACATATTGCTGAAGAGATCATGAACTCTTTGCAAGAGTAGGTCTCAGGGGAGCATCTTCATCCAGCATGCAGTGGTTGCAGCAAGGAATACTTTCATCACCCCGAACTGTGCCGAACTGATTTGCGTCAGCCCACCTTCATCGCCTGGGTTTTAGCCGGGCTCTGCGTCGCGTAGCGGCGCAGCCCGTGTCCTGACAGTAGGTTGTAAACGGCTGCGTCTCGCGTCTTAGGACCAGCTTGTTCATGATCTGATGATCTCGCTTAGCAACCCTTCCAATAATGCGCTCCCAGGCTGGACTATGTTGAAGTGTCCGACATATTCCGACCATAAAACATCTGTGCCTCTTTGACGTGCCGACCACATATCCGGTCCCAGGGCTGTTGGGGTGTTTGAGGAGCCGCTCTCCAGGCTGTCCTTCGCAGCGTCTGGTGGCGGGTTTTTTGAGGCTTCCATGGCACGCTATGAGATCAGCCGCTCTTCTTTTGTTCCCCTTCTCTACTTCTCTCCGCCCCATCTTGTAGCTCCCAGGCGTGAGAGGAGAACACAGATCCTCAGAAGTAGGCATGTCAGGCGCAGGAGAACGGCAGGCAAAAGAAGGATGCAAGTATCGAGGGGTTTTAGCTGTCGAAGTTGGTCAACCTTTCGCCCATGGCACGGTTTTGGTTTGGATGCAACAGCCTGATCGCCGTGATAATGCGTGTTCCCGAGCCCTCCTTGTCTTTGCGTGTCCAAGCTACGAAGCCCGAAGTCCCGAAACCAACGGAAGCCCTCAACCCTAAACCACCCCAAGGCACCCCAAACCCTCGCTCCTAAGTCCCCTTTCAAGGCTATTTTCATGCAGTCCCCAACACGCCCTCACAGGTGCTAGGCCCAGGGGCGCAGGCCACGGACGGCGCCACCGTCGAGAGGGCCACAGCCTAAGCAGCCCAAAGCAAGAATGAGATTCAGGATGTTGTCTTCATGAGTGCAAGGGACACGGAGCAAGCATCAAAGCGCAGGGCTTGCACGAGGTGATGTCAGCAGTCGGCGTGTGCGAGAAGTTGGGCGACGAGAAGCTTCTGGAGCCGAGTTGCTTGAGCGCTGTTGCTTTACACGTCCGTGCTGGCAGCCTCACATCTGGTTACGAGAGAGCAGTATGTTCCGTGAACCGTCAACGCAAACACGCGCGAGTGCAATGTCTGTTTACGCCTTGTAGGCCTTGGAGTAGCCATAGGAGACCCGAAGTGGACCAGCACGTTCCTTGTCAAACTGAGTTCGGACAGTGTTTAGCAGTTCGTGTTTGCCGATAGCTCAACTCGCGGCATGGAGATTGTCCAGGGGGCAAGCTCACTGACTCACTGAGCTTAGCAAGTGTTGAAATGCTTCCATGGGCTAGAGAACTGAGAACTGCACGCATGGAACCAGATATCTGACCCTTGTGTGTAGCGTGTTAAGGTCTGGCATTCTAGATATTCCAGCCTCTCCAGCTTGACCCTAGCTGGGACCCTAACCCTAAACCGCAAGGCCTGAGAAAGCCTGACAAGGTTCTGGTGTAGGAACCTCGGCCATGCTAAGGCCAAAGATAAACCTCTCAGCCTCTCAACTCCAAAAACTCTAAAAAAAGACGAAGCTGGCGAAGCTGGCCCCCGCAGGACGCTGTCACCGGGCTTTCGGGCAGTGGTCCGGCCTACGTGCCGGGGCTCCCGGCTGTTTTTCGGGCTTTGGGCCTAAGAGTAGAGGGCGTGTAGGAGGGCTTCTAGGGTTTAGGTGCATTGGGTCAGCAGCTTTAGAAAACAGAATCTGTTAGAAGGAGGTGTTCGGCATTCAGGGTTCAGTTTCGCAATCTGGTCTACAAAGGCTGCAGATTAAAGTGGCCGCACTGACGAATAAAGGTAGACCTAAGCACCCCCCCCCCCATGGTCAGGTGATCTCCAAAAAGACACTTCCTCATGAGGGTAAAAGGTGCCTTTGGGTTCTGAACACAGAATGCCAAGATATACAGGGGAAAAGGGAACTAAACACGGCAGAAACACGGCGAGTAAAGAGCCAGGGTTAGGGTTTTCGGATTCGAAAATTTCGGGGTTCCGGGCAAAGCTCAGGTACATGATGATCGAGGCCATGGCAGATGGTGGCGCCGCCGGGCTCGGAACAGCAAGCTCCGTAAGCATGCTGGCCTTCTGGAAGCCATTCCCTTGACCCCCGAATTTTGGATCGGGCCGTTTTTTCGGCCTGTTGCGTGCCAACCCGTTCATCTGTAAGTAGTCAGCAGCACTTATATACTTGGTGATGGCCTTATTCGGGCCGAGTGTTGCCCTAAGGTGAGAAACGGCCTGCCCCGCGACGTGTCGATGAAGCTGGCCGCGCAGACGGCCTGCCTATGGCTTTCAAGGGCACTTGGGGGGAGAGAGCAGCGATATCACCGGGAATGGGGTCTCGTAGCTTATCTTCTCCTTAGGGTAGCATTTCAAGGGGGATTCAGTGGTTTAACGTCGGAGCCCTACCAGCCCCCATCAACCGCTGGCCAGGTGATGGGCGCGGCCAAGATGACAATCTCGGGCGACAAGCGGGATGCTAAGGGCTCTCGAAAGCTCGAAGCTCCTCGGGTTTAGGGCTTGGGGATGCTCTCGGATCTGAAAAAGTTCGTGTCTTCGCCCTGCACCCCAGCACTTTCCGGGTGTGAAGCTGGATCCTCATGCAGGGAAGCTCAGGGAAGCTCTACAGTATGTCCAGCTCGGAGCCCAAAGGCATCCCGCCCAGCTCCGCAATGCCGTGGAGTCCCCGGGTGGCACCACCATCGCAGGCCGGCGCGAGCTCTGGCTTCAACAACTTGTGCCAACTCCTCGAAAACGCCGTAGGTCCATAAAGCTCCCGCAATAGCCCCCCCCCAGTGTCAAACACCTCGAGGGACCACAACCCTGGAAGCCACCGGCTTTCGGAACGCCGTGATCTCGGCAGTGACGGCCGCGAAGGCACGGGGGCGTTAGCTCGAAGGCAGCAACAGGGTGTCGCACTTTCTTTGAGGGCCAGAGGGCAGCCCATAGAATGGGGCCCAAGGGCGCCATTGTGCGCCATTTTGTGCCATTCTGTGCCATTTCTGCAGGAACGAGCAACGGAGCTGGGAAAGCTCTGAGCCTCCATCGGCTGGAGGCCAAATATCTCTTGACAACGGCACCCTGTCCCACATAGTCAAGCTTCCTCTACGATCTGTAAGAACCAAAAGAGAAGGACGGGCGCTGCTTTCAAGCGTAGATGGCATGAAGACCATCCGAGACCGTTTAATGATGACTCGGATGTGTGCCTCCTTTTCACTCGGACCCTGGCAGTTACCAGCCTCATCAGAACTTTGCAACACAACCCCCATGCGAAAATCAACTGCCAGGTCAGCCCTCTTTATTGGAGGCAACTCTTGGGCACAGTTCTTTACAGGACATGCCAGCACTAGGCAGCGTCCGAGGCGAACCTCGCAGCCAAGTGGCACTAAGACGCACAGGACAAAGCTGCAGACGCTTGGCAAGCGAGATGCCTCTCAATATCCTGCACAATCCAACAATCCAACTCAATCCATCCCACCCCGCTGAAAAGACCGAACTCACAGTGGAACACCTTTGGCCAGCACGAGGGGGGGTTTCGGGTTTAGGGCAAAGCTAGGCTGAAACTCCCTGAGGCCCCAAAACCCACACCCTGACATCCTGAGGTCAGAGCCTGGCCATCTTGGTCCAGAGCGGCGGCGCCCTCCCCTTACCGGGGGACCACCCTTCACAGATGGCATATGTAGGTCTTAGGGTTTAGGATGTACGGCCTAGGGTTTAGGGTTTCCCTGTGCGTGGGTATATACAGTAGACATTGAATGGCTGTGAATCTATAGGTCGCAGATCTTGGCATTCTTCGGGTCTTGGCTGCCTGTCCCTGAGCTCATGTCAGTGCCAGGCGTCTCTTGTCAGGCATGCGCTCTCCTTGCGCGGGGCGCCAAGCTTGTGAGTTCCGTGGCTCCCACGCAAAGTCTCTTCGAGCCTTTGGGCAGCTTCGGGCTTCAGAGCATCCTTTGAGAATCAGGGCTTATCAGGGCTTCGGAGCACCGCCAGGTGCCGATCCCAACTCGGTGGATGGGGTGGGCATCCACCCTCTCACATATGTCCAGAGCCTTGAAAGCTGGGAGGGAAAGAGTTTGTCTCGCATTGTGGTGGTCGCTGTGATGTGCCGTGTGATGTTCGTGCGCAGACGACTGGCTGCTCCCCAAAACCTGAAGCCCGCGGAGACCCTCAGGCCGTCGCAGCTGCTGGCGAGGGCGGCGAGGCCATTCAGATTTTCCTCTCGAAGTGGATGCTTATGCTCTGATACAACAGTCTCTAATCATTCGACACTGGATTCCGAAAGTAGGAGAATCCCGCAATTGTAATAGTTTCACCATCAGCCGGTAACCCAAACCCTTTACCCTAAAGGCCCTAAAAAAGGCCTTCAAAAAAAGGGCCCCTTAAGAAAACTCTCAGTTCAGCCCCAAGCTTGAAATGTAAAGTTCGCGCAGGTGGCGAAGCTGCTGCCAGATCCTCAAGCGATCCAGAACCCACTACCTCGACCATCTCGCCCCCCCCTCCCCCTCGAACTCCCTGTTTTTGTTTCAAACACCATGAAGCTGAACTTGCATTCTTACCCCATACCAGAACCCTCGCTTCCCGGAAGCAGCCGGGTTTAGGGATTACGGGTTACCCGAGCGAAAACGCAGAGCTTGTTGTGATGAGGGTGTGTAGACGCCGGTCCAGAAACCTGCGGAGAGGCGATGGGCTCCTTCAACCCTCCAGGGACTGGGAAGCCCAGTCCAGAAGTAGCCTTCTTCCCCCTTCTCGCTTGTTGATGTCCCCGGGCTCCTGCATTTTGCTACCATACAAACTACTTGTGTTTATTGACCCCGAACCTTCAACCAAAACCCTCGACACCCTAAACCTAGAACCTCGACCTGTGCCCTTGAAACCAAAAGCCACAACCGCAGCCAGCAGCTACCACACCGGAGATGCCCCTAATCGTAAGACCCTTGATCTGCCTTTGCACTCACAAATTCTTCGTGAAGTTTTATATCATTCTGTTCTCCGAGCCCAAAACCTCTCCCTGATTCCATGGGTCCATGAGCAATGCCTCTCTCTTGGACTTTGCTGGCAAGACGCCGCCTATGTCTGAGCACGACTCTGAAGAACGTTCACGGGGCAAAAGCACTTCCCCGGTGGGCTTCACACTAGTTGGAGACAACATTGAGGTGCTATCCACGAGGCACGTGCTTCATTGCTTCCCGTGTTTCTGCTCTCCCGTCGGGACCAAACCCAAAGCCCAACTCTGGTGCCTTCGCAGCCCCTCTACACTTCCTTTACACTTTATACCCCGTGAACCTCTAAACTTCTAGGCTCTTGCTTGGGCCTTTTGTGCGTCCACTGCTGAGGCTGTCTGGCAAGGCGAGCGCCGTCCCAAGCCTTTAGCATGTCTGCATCTCCTTGCTTGATAAGATCAGCCCTAGAGCTCAAGGCTTAGGATTTGGGGGTTTGGGAACGCTGCATATGCCAGCCTTCGCCTGCATGAAAATGGTGAGGAATGCCTATTCTTGTGCATTGTCCCACAGAAGTCACTTTCATGCACCGACTGCCCACACAGAGGCTTGGTGATCAACCCCCTCCCCCTCAACATGGGCAGGGAATATTTTGAGTTTAGGGGGGGAGGGATCAGTCGCTAAGACCCCGACGCGGCGCTTGGAGCACGGCACGTCCTGGACCTTTTTAGCAACGAGCTCAGGGCATCGATTGTCCGTGTTGTGGCTGGTCCCGTGGTCCCATGCAGTCCGTCCTTTCCGATCATGGTCGTTTGAGTGAGGCAGCCAAAAGTATCAGGGACCATGCCAGGAGATGAGTTTCTGCTGTTGAGACCGTCGGTAAGGAAGTATGTAGCAGGTTCCGCGATGTCGTGGTTTGATACCTCTGATCCTCAACAAGATCGCACTGCTCTGCACTGCCCGCACCTCCGCCACCTTCGCTCCTTGAGGCACGGATGACCAGCAACGCGTCCAGGCACGGAATGCCATCCCCGGAATGGAGCTGGCAAGTCGGGGGTTGTTCCAAGTGGATTCCTTGACATGAAAGGGTTGATAAGCCTCCGCTACATTCCGCTAGCCCTACACCGGACTCACTGGACGTTCTCGGGTTGCTCGTCTTCCAAGCGCAGGGCGTCATGGAACTCCAGAAGCTGGGCGACGCAGCGCCGGCAAACTCAGAGCTCTTTCAATCTCACCTTGATCTTTCAGAGAGCACTTCTGATGGTAAACATCAAGCACGTTAAGGCCGAAAACCCTATAACTGATTTGAGCCTTAGAGAGAGAGAGAGAGAGAGAGAGAGAGAGAGAGAGAGAGTGTGAGCCTTTTTTTGAGACCTGTTTGAGCGAGGCGGCGAGTGCACAAAGGGGCGATTGAAGCGGCGAGGCGCGAATATGCCCGGGGGCCCAAAAGGCGCCTTTGCTTTTTGCCACCTGAGATCGCCTTTCTTTCTTTCTCTGTCTCTATCTCTCTCTCTCTCTCTCTCTTCGCTCGCTCTGCGGCGAACTCAGGCGTGACAAGGTTGAGTCCAGTATGGGGGGTACCAATATTATGGGGTTGTTGGGTAGCTTGTCGTCTGTAATCTACAGGATTTGTATAAGGGAATTCGGAAGTAATAGTTATTCAGGCTCCTGCATTTGATGCCAAAGGTTTGCGGCCAGAGGCATGGGAGGTGAGGCTCGAGGCCTTCTTTGAAGAGCTCTGCTCTTACGAGGACTCATAGACTGAAGGCATCTGAAGGCTTTCCCATGGCTGTGCTGGCTTCAGCCAGTACCCATGAACGGCTCACACTGACTTAGAGATGTTTTCCGAGGCGCGTCGCCTGGTGGACACCCGATGGGACGAGCTGCAAAGTAGCTCCGACCAAGGCTGCAATCCTGATCTCGCGATTGTGATGTGAGTGTGAGTGTGAGAGTGTGAGTGTGAGAGTGTGTGTGTGTGTGTGTGTGGGTGCATGCGTGCGTGCGTGCGTGCGTGCGTGCGTGCGTTCGCGCTTGTGCTTGTGCGTGAATCTGCGGTTGGCAAGACCGAAAACTTTGGCTAGACATCGAATACCGTCGCAAGTCCGCCTTGCCGTGCTGGCTGCCGTGGGCGGCATCGGAAACCTGGCAGCACCGCTGGCGCACGACGTCGCGCTGGGGCCTCTTGCGCGATGAGGGTTTACTAGATGGGTTGAAAGGCCTGAGGCGGGGGGGTTGGACAACGATCATGCATGCTGAGGCCACTGCTCGCTGACCCTAACCTCAAAATCGTGGAGGCAGCAAGCAAGGCAACTGCCCCAGCGGAGCTTGAATATGGGGCTTAAGTCTGAGTTTGTTCGCCAGCAAACTTACTACAAGTTACGCTTGCAACGCATTGTAACTCTGAAGACTGTTCCGAGATCCTTTTGCAGGTAATCGCCCAGTTCGGGAGCGTGGAGGACTACCTGAACGAGCGCAGCTGGCCAATTGTGTGACTCAGAGGACTACATCGCACAATCTTCATCTTTTCCGTAGTTGAAGATCGCACGTTCTTCATTCCTTGGAAGCTGTGTGGCCTGCAGCTGTAAGCCCTAGTCACTAGTCACTTGGTCACTTTCAGAAGCACTTGCCGATGCCAGCCCGAATCCGGTGACTCGTGCGGCTGTTTTGAAGCAAGTGGCAGGTGCCTTAGCTTCTTTGCTGCGTGGCTCAGAAAAGGGGAACTCGAACTGCGTGACGATCTGGAGCCCCTACGGCCCTAGGTGCCACGTGAAGTGAGAGTCCGGAGTCCAAATCACAAGTGGCTACGGGCAAAAGCCATAGTTGAGCAGCTCAATGCGACGTCCTATGAGGGGTCCACGACAGAAGATGCGTAGCCGGCGTAACCCCGAGCAAAGGGCAAAGGTTCAGACTTCCACAGTGAGGTGTAGATGGTGTAGACTAGTTAGGAAGTGTAACAGAGTGCGTGCATACGCCTCTAAAGTTGCCAAGGTGAGAGAGTCCTTGTCCATGCCATGCTTTCAGAGATGTTGAATTCTCAACATGTCCTGCACCTTCGCCCTAGCACTTGCCTTCCCATGCATCGAAGCCCTAATAGCGGCCTT